GCTACTCTTGGGACTGGAGAGATGGCTCAGAGGTTAAGAGCACCGGCTGCTCTTCCAGAGGTCCTGAGTTCAATTCCCAGCACCCACACGGTGGATCACAACCATCTGTAATGAGATCTGGCACCCTCTTCTGTGTACATAATAAATAAATAAATGTTTGAAAAAAAAGAAGTTACTCCATTTGAGAAAAGCAACATGTGCCCTCACCAAATACACCCCTTTTACAAGGGAGCTTGTGCACTGACGTCATGACCACATGTCTCATGAACTTTCAGCTCAAGGAGATTGAACTTAGTTTTGTCTATTGTTCTGGGCAAACATTGGTTCTTGATATTGTAGCTAGCTACATATTTTTCAAATGCTCCCTTTTATTATTATTGTATCTTGTTTTCTATTTCTTGCAATGACCTGGAATGGGTAATTTCAGTTTTTTTGTTCTCTTTTGAAAGAAATTTAATTTATATAAAAAACCTTACAGTAAATAAAATTGCACAGTACTCACAGTTTTACATAATTTTTCATTTTCCTTGTAACAAGGTACATTGAATTATTCTTTGTAAAACTGTGCATGGCCACTTCATGAATTGTTTCATAATCAGTCATAGTTAATTCTATCAGAACATGTAGTCAGAATTTATCTTATACATAGTTCCCCGCTTTTGTTCATGTTCGATTAGCTCTCTCGTGTTTTCTAATCATTCTGGTGGGTCCTTAGAATCCTTTAACAGTGATGAACCTATGTGACTATTCATTTAATCTTTACACCATTAATGAATGAAGAGAAAATTGGTTTTCATACTCATCCTGTGAGCACATCACCATTAACCTCCTTCTAATTGAGCACAGTGTCCCCTCACCACCTGATGCCCCTCAGAATAAACTGAAATGAAGCAGTAATCCATCAACCAAAAACACCCTTTGACAATTGCCGTGTACCCTACCTACACAGTGCTGGAAGACAGGAGGATATCAAAGTAGGTTACACGTCCTTGTAGTTCGAGAATTTAGCATTTAGTTCTATGAGCTCAGTAGTGAGACACTATGCTAGATTATAATTTCCACTTTAAGTAGCAGGGATAACAGCCTATGTCTGGGAAGAAAAGTAGACTCATTCATTTTCAGTAAAGATTTTAAAGTAAATAAAAAGATCGTCATTTGCTCATCGAACAACATGAGCAAAAATAGACGGGGAGGCTAAGGTTTTCAGAAGACTTAGAAGCGCTACCCTTCCTAGTATGTAACCATTGGGGTGGGCAAGACAAGGTGATGGAATTTATGCTTTGACTTTCAAATTCACTACATTGTGCAGAGTTTCTGCAGTGCATTCTCTACTACAAAAAGCAGAATAGAAGTGAATACATATCAGGGAAATGCCCAGAGCTATCCATGCAGAAACATCCAGAATTCAGGTAAAGTTAGATTATAAAATCTTGCAGTTTCAAGTTTCTGAACACTCAAATGAGACAAATGATCACTAAAGTATTACCCAAGTTTTGATAAAAGACTTCGTGTTTCTTTCCTTTATGAATTTACTACATTATTTTCAAAAGATACGTCATCCCTTAACAGTCTTTCCCATAAGCAGCTGGCGAGTTAATAATCCTGAAACAGAACTCTTGGAAACAAGTGATGTCTACTGAACATATATTTGAAAGGACAGCCTTTGAACATCTCAGCCATGATTTTAAGGCCTCATATACTTTGATTCCAGCTGACTCAATCACTCTTTTTTTTTTTTTTTTTTTTTTAGCTGTATGTTGTATTCTATGACTTCGTGTAAGTGTTTTCATCAGCAATACAGTGAAGTCCCCATGGGGGACTCCTGTTTGCCTCTCAGCTTAGTGACACTTCTTCCTGACTCCGCTGGAAACAATCTCTCTGTGCTCTGAAGTTCGCCTTCTCCACCACACAGGTGACATTTATAATTACTCAACTTGAAGTTGATATCACACGATGTCAATTTCTTTACAGAGCCTCAGAGTCTTGGAGTGGATAGAGGACAGAACACATTTATTACATCCAGAAATAAACATATAAGTGTTCTGAGTGAATGTAGGGCCAATCAGGAGGGGCATATGAGAATTTTGGTAACAAAGGAACACAAGTGAAACTGAGTAGTTTGTCCGACAGCTGGAGGGGTCAAATGTCCAGGGATTTGAAAACGGGGATGAGAAATCGAAAAATTTCCCAGTGTCCAGCAATGCTGCTAATTTCTAGACTTGTCAGACTGTTGTTTCAATAGAGAAATGGATAACTGAGCCTTGAAAGAACATGATGTCATCTTGTCTGAACTAATGAGATGTGGAAATGGAAAATTAAAGTTAAGTTTATTTTGGACACGTGTGCATGGATATGCATGTAGCTTTGATTTTGCCATGTCGGGCAAAATTGGCATTTGAGCTGGACAATTTGATTTATTAAAAAGCAATCTTCAAGTCATGTCCAAGGCGACTGCAGAATAAACCCCGCAATCTCCTCTTCTTCATATAAAGGGAACACACAACATGATGAAGTGATCGATGGAGATGAGGAATTTTGAGAAGTACGAGAGATGAAACTTTCTACAAGGCATTCATTCCCATGCCAAGCATATTTGGAATCCTGACCCCAGTCACTCACAGTAGCCACACCCAATTTCAGACCCTTAATTAAGTGGAACAAGCGCAGGAAGATTTTTTTCAACTCCAAACTGCTTGTCTTCAGCTGACTTTGTAACTCAGTTTTCTTTGTATAAAACCCACATTATGTTTAAAAATTGAAATGTTCCATCCATCTAGATAAGTCTGAATTACCAGCCCTGGAAGCTTTCATTTTGTCAGGCAAAATATTTAATCTCCCTGGGCTTTGGGTAATTCACACATAATCGAGACCATTCCTAATACTTTCTGTCGGAGGGTGAAGGTACAGTGAGGAGGGTTTCTGTTTCCTCCCTCACAGCCTCCCATCTAGACAAGGACACTTCAAGAAGCAGATCAAACAGCAACATTAAGACCAAGTCACTGATTTGTACAGTCTTTCTTCACTTAGAAAATACCAGATGTGGACAACTTTTTTTATGTTTTCTAAGACTGAGTGAAGAGAAGTTTTCTGACTTAATTGCTGTTTTTTTTTTTCATATAGTTACTAAAAAATCTAAGATTAAATTATTTCTGTTGATTGCAAGATGCCATTCCACAGCCAAAGCTCAGCCTTCATATGTGTTTTCAGTACATAGTCTTTTATTCTCCCTTAATTAGGGATAAGCAGATGGCCTCTAAATACTCAAAAGATAGTATTTTGGAGATACAATCTCACCTTTATGGTGTTTCCCAAAACAGAGCACCTGCTTTGTCTTCATCACCTGAACTTATGTGGGGTCTATACTTCTCAACTCAAGTTGACTAATTCTGAACACCATGTTGCCATTTATTCATAACTGTTAGGACAGTGGTTCCTCTTATCCTATTTTATGTTCTCTGGTCTTTGTCAACTGTTGTCTTGGTTACCAGTGGCCAACTGAGGGCTGGAAATACTGAATGGAAAATTCCAGAAGTAAACAGTTCATAAATGTTTAAAATGAATACTGTTCTGACTAGTGAGATGAGTTATCATTCACTTTGCTCTGTCTACCAGGGGATGCGGCTCGCTCTACTGCCGATCACATCCATGCTGTTCATGTAGCCTGCTTCTCAGTCACTCACATGTCATTTTGGTGGTCAGATACACTGCTGTATCTATGTACCACCATGCATATATTCAAGTTACTCTGATGTAAAAGTCCAACACTGTCACAATACCTGCATCATTCATTACCCTTTATTGCATCACGGAGGGAACATCTTTCCATTTCATGACAAGAGGAAAGCTATTATATAGATAATAAAATACAATACTTTGAGACAAGGGGGCCGGGTTCATACAGTTTTAATTATCGCCATTCTATTTCACTATCAACCACTGCTGTTATCGCTTTACTATAGGTGTGTACACACAGGAAAATACAGCATCTATAGAGCTCAGTGCTTTCAGAAATCCACTGGGGTCTCAGAACACAACCTTGGTGGACAGGGGGATCTGCTCCTTTTAAAAACTGCTTTGTGGTTTTCAGGAATAATAGCATAATAGTCAAGGAGGCATATAGGATCATTTCATACACGTGCACAGTTTTAAATGACCATCAATGCTACTGGTTAAAAATGTTCTCAAAACAAATAGCTAGCATCTGTGGCTTGATTATAAATTTTAACCAGCACAGGAGGCTAGCCTCGGGGACAGTTCTACCTGCTTTCCTTGTCTGAAGTTCCTTATCTCACTGGTTACAGTTTCTTGCTCATCTCTCTGAAACACATTTCAGAAAGAGATGCGTGCTGCATGGTATGCCTGTGACATTCAGGTTCCTGTAGAATTGTCTAGTATGAAGTTCCATCTACATGGGCTCAGATAAAGAATTCATTTTTGTGTTTGCAGTTTGGGTGCTAACGGACTGCCGACTAAAAGCTATCCTCTGTTTGTTGTTACTGCGAGCGGCTCGATAGTCCTCGTGTGTGTGTGTGTGTGTGTGTGTGTGTGTGTGTGTGTGTGTGTGTGTGTACTCACGCTTCTGTGACACACATTTTCAATGACTTTTTGTACACTACTTATTACAAAACGAAACTGAAAATTTGCAAGTGGCAGCTGTGGGCTGAGGACCTCTCAAGGGCAAAAGTTAAATAACTATTGTGCTGTGACGTCACTGAGATAGCTCCAATACTACCAAGTCCTTTTCAGATGCCACTCCGTGTCTGCTTCTTTGCCTTTCATTTCTCCTCTGCATCTCCTCTGTGTCCTCCCCTTTGTCTTTTGACCGCCTTATATACTTACGTTTCCTTTCCTCCCGTTTCTCCTTTCTTTCTTCTCCCACCCCACCCCAACCCCATTCTTGTTGTTGATTTTTCCTGTTTCTTTTCTGTTCTCTCCCCCTACTCATGCGTTTGCTCCTCTGAAACCACACCCACGGGATCACAAGTGTGACCCTTCCTTACCGCGATGAAGACGTGGGCTCAGTGGTTTGTCTTTGCACACGAGCATGTTTAATTAAATGTTCCTTTAAAGCCGTCTGCACTTCCGCGGGGATATCAGGGGACGTGTGGCTGATTTTTATTGCAGGCTCAATAGCTTTGGGAGCTGGCTTTTCATTTTCTTCAACTTCTTTTTTCTCTTCGGCCTCAAAAACTTCGGTTGGAGCGCTCGAAATGCTCTGTGGGAGGGCGCTGGCGTTGGGAGCCACAAGCTTGCTCTTCCAGCATGGCCAGCACAACTTCCAGAAGACGAAAAGAGAGACAACCAACAAGGCTAGGCCACAGAAGCTTACGACAACTGCCAACAGGCTGACTGAAACGTCTGGAAAAAAAAAATCATAACCGAAAGAAATGTCAGTAGACATCATAAATAAGAAGCACAAATGGTGATATGAATGGAAATGTATCAACTGGATTCAGGGAACACATGCATATCATACCCAAGCATACCACAAGGGATTCAAGATTTTGCAAGTGAAGGTGGCTACCTTGTCTCCTGCCACAAAGCCAGAAAGTTAAACTCTGAAGCTGTGTATAATAGAAACTATTGCTTCCTCTTTTACTTAATGATCTCCTTCCCCTGTCTGTGCAGAGAACATCATTAAGTACCAAGTCCATCTTTCTGGACTGTAAGTGAGAGTAACACCATGCCAGGAAAATATAATAAGGCTTTCAAACTCAGTAAATGTTTCCTAATAACTTTGTATATATGCCACTTTAAGCTAGTACACATATAATTCTAAGTCCTGAATTAATAAATGAATTGGGCTATCATCTGAATGTCTGGGCCCTGCTAAAACTCTTATGTTTAAATCCTAAATCCCAAGGCAATGTCATCAGGATGTGATGGTTAACTTCAGTTACCTTGCCTGAATTTGGAACCACCTCCAAGATTATAAGGCACACCCCTGGGCATGTTTATGGGCATTTCCCGACAGGGTTAAGTGGGGTGGGGGAGATAAACTACCTAGAATGTGAATGAATGACATCATCCCATTGTCTAGAGACATAAATGAACAAACAGGAAAGAAAGAGAAAGTCAGGTGAGATTGGACATTCTTCTTCTCTGTCTCTTGCGCCATCGTGACGAGCTGAAACACAAAGTAAAGCATTGATTTCCTCAAGTGGTTCTCTCAGATATTACATACACAACAATGCAAAGTGCTAAAACATAGAAGATACAGCCTCCGGGGAGGGGACTAGGTCATGAAGGGAGAGCCTTCGTGAACGGGATTATAAGTGCTCTTTAACACAGGTCCAAGGGAGCTCTTTTGTCCTTCTACCACAGGAGGTTACAGATAGTAGTTGCCACCTGTGAATCAAGATTAAGGCTCAGCTACAATGTGTTTCCTCCAAAACGCATGAATCAGAACTCTAGTTCTTCAGTGCCAGGTGCTGGGAGACAGGACCCCGTGGGAGGTGTGCAGGTGACAAGGATAGAGTTTTCAGGAATGGCTCCACTATCATACCAGAGTTTTACCTCTGTGGGGACTAGACTATCGGGTTTGATAGTGGATCGTTAAAATCGCGAGGCTGCTCCTTGCTTTGTGCCTTTGAATGTCTATTAGGAGCCAACGTGGTAAGAGGCCCTCAGTAGGTGGAGGTAGACTTACCAGCCTCCAGGACGATGAGCCAAAATGAATGAATCTCTTCCCTTCACAAATTATCCTCTCTTAGGTATTCTCCAGTGGTAAAAGAAAACAAAGACAGGCTCTCATGAGCTCCTGAACCTGCCAGTAACTTAATCTTGAACTTCCCAGCCTGCAGACTCTGAGAAACAAACTCCTGTTCTTTCTATGCTGCTCAAGTAACACTATTTTCCAATAGCAATCTGAATAAGCTAAAATCTTGTTATTCAGGAATTAAAACATATTCCCATTAAAATAATTATAGTATGAGTATATGTTTGTTATGTAAAATGATAGAAAGAAATACAGTTACAGGTTGAGGCTGAATAAACAGATAAATGAAGAAAAGCAACCAAGTTCCCTTTAGAAGAATTCTAAGCAATTTTTGTATATAGTCTACATATACAGGAAAAAGCACAACTCCTCACTTCTTTGGTGTGGACTGCACACCTTCATGGTGACATTCCCTCCAAGAATACTATTGGCAACGGAAGTGATGGAAGTCCACAGTAATGACCTGCGGCCACAGCATGCAATCTTGACATGGAATAATGTAAGCGGTCCTTTACATCTGTAGTCATCATGCTTCATACCAAGTCTAATCATGATAAAAAACACTAGGCAAATTTCCAAAAATAGACATTCTAAAAACACCCAGCCAATATTCCTATAGATTATCAAGTCATCAACAAAAGTTCTGTGAAATGTCTCAGTCAAGAAGCATCTAAGCAGGCTTAACCACTAAATGTAAATCACCTTGGATAGGGTCCTAGAACAGAAAAAGGCCATTAGCCAAAGGTGAAGGAAAGTCCAAAGAAAAAGGTGTGGGCTTTAGTTAATCTCCCAATACCAATATATGAATAATAACAAATGTGTCATTTCAATGTAAGGCATAAGTATTAGGAGAAACTGGACATGGATATGATAGGAGTCTCTACTATGTTGTTTTTCTATAAGTCTCAAACTGTTAGAAAACATGAAGTCTAAACAAATACAAATTAACCTTCCCATTACCCATTTCTATCTTTCTTAAGTGACCCAAATTAGCCATATGACATTATAGCATTATTAAAATTTTGAATGTCAAATAGATTCTCAATAAAGGACAATTTTTCTAGATTTGATTAACCTTATACTTTTCCATTACCAAATTTGTTTGCCCTCAATATCAAATATAAATCCAATTTCCTTTGTTTGTTTTAAGTAAAACTGTTAGGAATATATCACAAACTGATCGTGTCTGTCTCTTATCCTTTTCTAAATTTATCTCTTGATGTAATCACAGTCAATACTTCAAAATATGACTATATTTCAGAAAAACAACTTTTAGCAATTATGGTAAAATCAAGAAATATGAACCAGTCTTACTTCATTGACACATTTAAAGAGGACAAGAGTTGAGGACACAAATACATACAGATAGAATATCACAAAAAGACATAGGGACAGACATTGCTGACTGTCTTAGGTAGGGTTTTTATTGCTGCAACAAAACACCATGACTAAAAATCAAGCTGGGCAGGAAAAGGTTTATTCAACTATTCTGTATCACTGTTCATCATCAAAGGAAGTCAGGCTAGGAACTCAAGCAAGGAGGAACCTGGAGGCAGGAGCTGATACAGAGGCCATGGAGGGGTGAGGCTTACTAGCTTGCTCATCATGGCTTGCTCTGCCTGCTTTCTTATAGAGCCCAGGACCACCTGCCCAGGGGTGTTCCCACCCACAATGGCCTGGGTCCTCTATCAATCACTAATTAAGAAAATGCTCTACAGGCTGACCCATAGCCCAATCTTATAGAGGACATTTTCTCAGTTGAGGTTCCCTCCTCTCAGATGACTATAGTTGTGTCAAGTTGAAATAAATCTAGCCAGCACACTGGACAAGGTCAGTAGTCTCAGAATAACTCAACCCTGCAGTACCTTGACTCAACTCTAGCTGTCTGGATGGGGAAGTAAGTTCCTATTTATGGCGTTCATTCTGGAGTATATTTTTATAGCAGTCCCAGTACACCAATGTTGAGTAATTCCAAATTCCTTTAAACACTGTTGTGGATACAGCATGCCACATTCTTTGGAATTAACCACTGATACTAATTGGATACATGTGTCTAAGCTTAGCACCTACATACAAAAATATATCTTATAAAATCTTAAATATTTACAATTACATAATATTATTTTAATATAAATTGTTTATTGCATAATTCTTCCTTTAATTTGCCTTTTCCTCCAGAAATGGGTTATATTTTCATGTTACTGTAATTTTTTATAATAATTCATTAAGATCTATAGCTTAAGCCCAGTTTGGGAGTGTAACACAGCTACATTAAGCATCTTCATATCTTTTTCCTTGTATGAATATTTGTGACTGATTTTCTAAAGCAAAGGTCTCAAAATAGAATTGCTTGGTCATAGATTATATACGTATTTAGTTTTACTAGATATTTTCATAGTTCCAAAATGAGTTCCACACTTGTAAAGGAGATGCCATATGGGTTTACAAAAGCTTCTACAATTTTAGAAAAATATTGTCTCTTAATTTTTCACTAATCTTCCAAAGCTTTGTTTTTTCCTGACTGAAATGGGAAGCCATTTTGAAATGAATAATTTTCCAATTTTTTCTACTACCTAATTATGAAAATAGAATATCTCTAACATGCTGTGATAGGCATTAATATTTCTCTTAAATTTCTTTATGCTTATTAGAGCAACTACTGAATGCTTCCTATTTGTAGCCTATTGATAAGGAAGGCTTTATTTAACATTTTAGAGTTTATTTTTTTTTTACTGTTGTATTACATATTATCACCATAACTTGAGGAAAAGAGAAAAACCTGTGAGGATAATGTGCTTTCTGTCTATTAACTATATTTTACAAGATAAATAAAGATAATGACATGTCTGCTATGCTTCTAAAATATTTCCTAAAGTTCTTCTCTTGGAAGCATTATCACAAAAGCAGCAGGGCTGCAAAGTGGGGCTACATAAGAGGTGCTGTAGTCATGCGGGCCCTGGTTCAGTGGCGGGCTGACGTCATTCCAAGAATGGTTAGTAACTGAAGGGTAATTGTTAGGCTCGTGAATTCCAGCCCAGCACAAAGGCCCTTGACATCAGACTTCTTAACTTTAGAACTGTGAAGAAAGTCTTTATTTACCAACTGTGTAACCTGTGTTATTATAGGAGTAACATTGAAAACAGGTCCAACTCTGTGGTCTTAATGTATTTTCCATACCATTTACCTTATATTATTCTGTATATTTAAAAGATTTCAACAAGTTATTCTAACAAAGTTGGAGCCAAGAACCAAGATGTAGACCCGTAGGATTATGTGGGATGGACATAGTTGTCAGTGGTCATTGGAAATATCTCTCCTTTTCCTAATGGCTAGAGGTTTGAGTGAAAAATCCTATAATAGCACTGTCCCAAAGAGATGGTTTTGTCATTCAAAGTATTCATTTTAGTTCAGAGCCCTGTGTAAACCTGAGAATATTTTCTATTTTTCTTCTAATATTTTTTCTTTCTAAAATATCACATCATTTTGGAAGCCATCAAATATTTCTGCAAACCACCAGAACATTTCTGATAATGATAGGTTACGCTATCAGCACAAACAGGATAGCAGAAAGCAACAAGTCTTATTCTTGCAGCTGAGATGTTTAGGTACTCTGCCTCTCTCAGTCTGTGTCCCTCCAGAT